TTTTTTTTTTTTTTTTTTTTTTTTTTTTTTTTTTTTTTTTTTTTTTTTTTTTTTTTCATTTGTTTACTGTTATTACAAAATTTTTTTTCCCCACTGTTTTTATTTACACGACTACAACTTACTCTTATTACTGTCTTGCATATGATCATCCTTCTTGTTCTTATACTATAAATTTTAATTTAACGTCATTTTTGTTTTATCATAATATTTTTTCTTTGTTTTTTTTTCAATTGTTTTGGAATAAAAATCATCGATGGATTCAAATTATTATTAACTTAAAACTTTGCAATTTCAAGAACATATTTTTTTTAATCTAAAGCATGCGCAAACTTTTCTTCTTTAAATTTTTTGAAGTTAATAATTTGAATATTTTGTTTGAATTAAAAAAAATTTGTTTTACAGTTTTCCTTATTTTTCATCTTTTCACATATTTTTTCATCATCCACACATGATCGATAGGAAAGTAGTACCTTTTGCTTGATTAACTTAGCAAAACGATTAGAAGAAAAAAAACTTGCTCTTGTCACGGTTTATGCGCTTCGTGCTTTCTTAAAAATTTTATTTTTTTGACGTCAATAAAAATGTAAATTGTAAAATTAAAGTGTTACTGAAATTTGGCAACACTAGTAAAAGATTTTATTATTAACTATTTCTACTCGTTTCTAAAAATAATGCATATGAACCGTGACGAACGATTTTAAATCTTGAAACATTACTCGCCATTTTGTTTGCATATCACGCAAAAGTGTACAATAAAACCTATCGATCTTTCTACCACAAATAGGATCTTAGGAAGGTCTTTGGAGCACACAACGATTCAGTCTGTGACTCCATGGGCAAAAAAAATTTTAAAACATTCTAGTGACAAATAATGCAGTAGCATAAATGAACCGCCTATCCTATTCTATACTTTTAATAATTTATTATTCAGTCAATAAGCAGAAGACAGGAATAAAACAACTTTTACTTTTAACTTTTAATCATAAGATAAATGATTGTGTCAATTCGCAAGGCCGAGCGATTTAAATTTATCATTCGCCGATTTGTTGTCCATCTCTAAGATCTTTCGAAATTTTTGTGCTTTTCAACTTATTTAACATTATTTTATTATGAGTCACGTAATTTTAAATGAATTTAAGATTAAATCTGATACTAACGTCATACTAACTTAGAGATGATACAAGTGAAATTCGATGCTAAGATGAATTTAATAATATGGCTCGAGCCACTCATCAAAGAACAACCAAGGATTGACACTATTTTTTCAATTGCAGATAAAATACTGGCCACCCTAGGAGAGGGTACTTTTGGAAAGGTTGTCAAGGTTAAAGACTTGCTAATGTAAGTATTTGCCACTATTAACTTATTTATCTTGATTCAATTAATTATAATTATTAATATATTGTTATTATTATTATT